CACGTGATCAGTATGCAACTAATCAAATATCAGACCAGGCAGTCCTGGGTGCCGTTTCACGAAAGCCTCTTAGCGCTGCGACCTATAGAGAATACTACACTCATTCTCGTTAGATACCATTTTTACGGAACGAGTGGACTTTCTATGGTATCTGACCGAGCGAAAGCGAGGTCAGATACCATAGAAAGTTCACGAGTTTCGTAAAAATGGTATCTAACGAGAATGAGTGTGGTATTTTATTTATTACCCACGTTAAATATATATTTAAGTGTAAATACATAACAACTTTCGTTCGTTGACAGACCAAACTGAAACCGGTTGCAAAATCTGGTTGCGCATGAATATTGATATATGACCAAATATGGGCATTGTTGACATGTTTATGCATACGCATTAACAACATGCGCCTGCTGTTCTGTTTGCAAACAAACCAGCACCGACGCTCAAGATCCTTTTGGAAGAAAGTCTTCAACTTATGGTAATTCAAGCGCCATGTTGTTAGTACGCAGGACACCGATAAGAAAATTTGAAATGTCACATTAGCGCCGCGCTTTGAATATCGGACCAACTGTCACACGCATCACACTGCCGGGGTCCCGTCTGTGCAATCAAAATGGTTCGGATTCCTTGATCTATCAGCTGAATTTATATCATGTCCGTACCATTTTGGAAGAGGGAAATCAGACTGTTCGCCAAAGACATTCATGTTAACTGTACCACCCTATATACTGAAGACGTGAAAATCAACAAACTCAAATCTGCTTGCATGTCAGTGACAGCTTCGAACGATCGAAGGGCAAGGTCGCCACCAGAATAAGAAAAGACAACCGCGATCCACTCACAGCGTTTTACGCTAGAGATAGGGAATGTTACTGTTCACATTTGGGATGTATTGGGCCACAAAATCAGAAGTCAAGCACACTTCCACGGAGTTTTCGAATGATTTGTATCGGAACTGTGAACTTTAAGTGATCTGGTCGTGCTGTCGTGTTCGTTCATTCATGAACAACACCTCCCGAAACAGCGCCACAAAATACGCTTCAAGGGGGACACCGATGGCACAACCGGATCATCCCAAGTAAGTCTAGATATCTGTCCAGATAGTTTAAACAGACTTCATTTCACCACGCCTATCCTTTTACGTTAAATCAAATTGAAAGTTGCGAAAATGGTCGGGTGCGTCACGCTCAAGGGACGCGCTCGATCGGCAGTCGTACATTGTAAATCGATTTATAGATCTAGCTCGATTATATGTCTGTAGGACCTCTATGCATAACTTGTATAGAATGCAAACCGAATTTGATGCGTGTGACTATCTTGTTTGGTTTAATAAAGTGTTTGTAAATATCTCACGTTCTCACGAATTTCTTCAGTTCTGCCTTCACTCTCCTACCCAGAGTTCCATGCGGCCGGCAGCCAGCTAGCATAGTACCTCTGCCACAGGCCAGCGCCATGTGACGATTCGTCACATCTTTCACAGTCCATTCAAGATATTGCATATGCTTTTCCTCCGTTTCATGTTTGACAAGTCTACACATTTTCATAAACAAATGTCAAAGAATGGTTAACTTTCATTGAGAAAGTATGCAAATACGTAAAAATCTACTTGTTTTTGCGTAGTTATCCTATGTTTACATTGGTTGTACGGCTCCACGTGCTGACATCGAAGCCCAACGGAGAGCTAGCGACACGGAAACTTTGATGCATAAATATATATTGTCATGCAACTCACTGTCGCAGTTGTAGTAGCATTATATAGTTATGCAAAACAATATGTAAAGCGCCCCCAAATACTTGCATTAGTCCGTTCTATACTGATTTCTGAAAAAAGCGCGTTTGTTTACAAACAAGAGAAAAGTCCGGGCTCGTGATATGCAAATTAGCCTGTGGCAGTGGTGTTATGCTGAGTCACCACTGCGACGGAGTGTGTTCTGCCTTGTAATTACAAAATGAATGACGTCTCGCGATTTTTTATGAATGAAAAAAGTAGTCCCGGTGTGACAGAGGTCACGGTTATCCAATCAAAACGCACACTCCGTCGCAGTGGTGACTCAGCATAACACCCACACTCCGTCGCAGTGCACACTCCGTCGCAGTGGTGACTCAGCATAACACCACTGCCACAGGCTAATTTGCATATCACGTGACCGGACTTTTCTCTTGTTTGTAAACAAACGCGCTTTTTCAGAAATTAGTATAGAACGGACTAATGCAAGTATTTGGGGGCGCTTTACATATTGTTTTGCATAACTATAAAGATATGCTACTACAACTGCGACAATGAGTTGCATGACAATATATATTAATGCATCAAAGTGACCGTGTCGCTAGCTCTCCGTTGGGCTTCGATGACAGCACGTGGAGCCGTACAACCAATGTAAACATAAGATAACTACGCAAAAACAAGTAGATTTTTACGTATTTGCATACTTTCTCAATGAAAGTTAACCATTCTTTGACATTTGTTTATGAAAATGTGTAGACTTGTCAAACATGAAACGGAGGAAAAGCATATGCAATATCTTGAATGGACTGTGAAAGATGTGACGAATCGTCACATGGCGCTGGCCTGTGGCAGAGGTACTATGCTAGCTGGCTGCCGGCCGCATGGAACTCTGGGTAGGAGAGTGCATAACACCACTGCCACAGGCTAATTTGCATATCACGTGACCGGACTTTTCTCTTGTTTGTAAACAAACGCGCTTTTTTCAGAAATCAGTATAGAACGGACTAATGCAAGCATTTGGGGGCGCTTTACATATTGTTTTGCATAACTATATAGATATGCTACTACAACTGCGACAGTGAGTTGCATGACAATATATATTTATGCATCAAAGTGACCGTGTCGCTAGCTCTCCGTTGGGCTTCGATGACAGCACATGGAGCGTACAACCAATGTAAACATAGGATAACTACGCAAAAACAAGTAGATTTTTACGTATTTGCATACTTTCTCAATGAAAGTTAACGATTCTTTGACATTTGTTTATGAAAATGTGTAGACTTGTCAAACATGAAACGGATGAAAAGCATATGCAATATCTTGAATGGACTGTGAAAGATGTGACGAATCGTCACATGGCGCTGGCATGTGGCAGAGGTACTATGCTAGCTGGCTGCCGACCGCATGGAACTCTGGGTAGGAGAGTGATCAAAACGAATAAAACAAGGTCAACATTGTACGACACACGTGTGACGTACGGATTTAGTATCTTACCACCTGTATCTTCATCACGTGGGTAATAATACGATTTACGACATCCTAATTTCAAACCGGAAATGGAAGCGCACCTGTTACTTTTTATCAAACAAGAGCCAGATGCTTAACATGAATGAAATAAAATATCATATGGTGAGTATAGACAAGTAGAGATTGCTGCAGAGCATCAATAGCTCCCCGCCATATAATGTTATGTGCAGAGGAAGGAAGTGTAAGCTATGGGAGGAGAGAATTGGTGTAAAGTACAAATTGGTTGTTTTTAATGTACTTATCTTTGGAAAGCACAATAAAAGAAACAGTGTCTTTAATTGGTCTGCACAAAGAAAACCCAGGCAAGAAAACTGGGCCTGTCAGGCAAAACTTGATATATACCCATTATTAGTACCAATAAAAAAAGTCCTATAAAGATAACACAACAAATGTCATTCTAAAGCATGCTTTTGCAGCAAATATCAATATTTCTGGTCAAAATGTTGGTTGGGTTAAATAAAGCAAACTTTTAAAATAGTAAACACAAAAAAAGTAATGAATCCACTCTAAATATACTTCAGTTCAATTGTAAAATTTCACGCAATCATTAATGGATTCCCATTCATCTAGCAGCAAGTTAGGAACATACAGTTTGGTCACGTTATCTATAAATATTGAGAATTATCTTACATATTGTAAAAACAAAGGCCATAGGTCACTTTTCTCAAAACTTCGTTTAAGTAATCACAAACTAAAAACTGAAAAAATTGTACATATACAAAAAAACCAAAACCATTTGAACAACGTCTCTGTGATGTCTCAGAAGATGAACAACATTACGCACTGTCTTACATAATACAACCAAGACAGAGAATCACAAATAATCCCCAATCATGATAAAGAATTTGGTACACTCTATTAAAAGGAGCAGATTCTTAATACGTTTACCAACAGTTATCCAGAAACAACTTCCAAGATCTGTTAACATATCAACAATTATAAACAAATTCCTTGTACATGTATGTACAACATTACTATAGTTTTGCTCAATTCTCATATTGTTTCCATATCATTATATTACACTTGTTTTAGAAATTAAATTGTTATAATGTACCTCATTTGAATGTTGAATGTTCCTGGGTTTTTTTAATTGTCGTTTATTGTGCATGTATTTTGTAGTTTGTGATTGTGTAATATTGTCACTGTTTCTTCATGGAATGTTCCGCAATACACATCTCATCTAAAACATCTTTATTGTATAATAGTTTCTTACAGTTGTTTACGGGGACATGGTTGGCCCAGTCGCCGAAGGCGCTGCAATTCGCTATGCAGCGCTGTGTCCCTTGGGCACGCCAGAAACCTATGACAGACTGTTTGAATCTCGGTTCGCTCGGTGCTCAACTGTGCACAGCAAGCGCCATACCTGTGATTATGAAGACAACTAATAAAACATTTCTCATATCAAACCCGTTGTTTTACATGTGTTGTTTATTTGAACAAAGTCATACTTTATAGAAGCCTGTTATTTAATCGTGTTGAACAATATGTTGCAAAAGCAGTGTTAAAATTGAGTGCGCGTGACAGGCTTGGCCTAAATTCCTTCCTGGAACGTTTCTCGATGGCTGCCTGAATAACATACGATACATTGTAAAGGTAGTGCGCAATTGAGCTGTTCGGGTAAGGGAGATAATCACTCACTCTCAGTGATACAGCTTGAATAAGATACGATGTACAGCAATGCAAGGTCAGTGCGTGAATTAATCACTTCTATACTACGCCTATAGTAATAGGAGATAATCGCTCAATGCGCAATAGTTTATTCTTACAAAATATAGACCGGTTAACTTTAGCGAAATGGGATCACTTTTAGCTCTTTTAAAAACAAAATGAACAAATTTCATGGGTTATCAGCATTACGAAAAGTGTCAAAGTCTCAGAAAAGCAAGACGATTTTGAAGTATCTCTTATTGCTGGAAAAGATAAACATCAACATTTCACGCACATTTCACATGATTTGTATGTTTCGTTTCGGTAACTGTGTGGCTTGAAATTTCAAAGAAACCAACATGTCGACTTACATGCTACAAAATTAACGTCTCCCGTATACAAACTACAAACCTGTTCGAGTTTAATGATAGTCACACATAGTTCCATCAATAGCTGTCAAGTGTGATGGTTTGAATAGTAAATCCAGCGACAACAAGCTGCATCGGCAAAAATAGTAACTCTCTTGTGTGGAAACAAGGAAGATTGTAATATTAGAGTTGTTCCCCTTTGTAACAGCAGACGACCTTAACATATATATCACGGACGCTTCTGGACTAAAAAAAAGAAAGAGAAACTTCTCCTCGGCTGACATAGATATCATTGTATCAGGTGTGGAAAGTAATTTTGACATGCTGAATTCGGCCTTTACGTATACAGTGACAAATAATGCAAAGAAGAGGATTTGGAAAGATATCACCACGACGTAAGCGCCTTTTATTCTGATGATACATTAAATGAAACTCTCATAAAATCTAAAAGTGAGTTCCAACGTAAGTTGAGAGAAGTGGCTCTATACTGCTATACTGGACTACATAAAGTAATGATAGTTAAATGAGGTCAGGTTATTTTAATTTGTTTGGTTTCACTTTTTGACATAAAACAACTACTAACCACCACCACTTCACTTCAAAATGTTATTAACCTCTCACTGTTAATGATCATTGCATAATGATCAAATATGAAAGAACAGGTGAGTGATTGTTCCTCAAAACTACAGCATCAATCTTACCAGTTTTCATGGCATAACTGGAAGTGTTATAATTTATGATGAACAAATAAAGTAACATCTTACACGTATTTTACACAGTACAGTCTTATTTTCAAATAAAGATACCAATTTCAAATAATTTTCACAAATGACACCATTACTTAACATGACCTACTGCAACTGAAAAGAGGGTAAATAATAAACATAAATTCATGTTAGCGTGAAGCCTACAAACGAAATGTTTCAATATGTACCTGATAAAGTAATGGTTTGACACATATTGAGTTTGTGTAACAATAGACATAATTCATGAAAAACTAATTGTGTATTACACATTTTAAAATAAACTATTATTATAGTAATATAGCCACCAATTCCCTCTTTAAATAGATTCTACAACTGATTCCATCCTGTGCTATTGAGGGGATCCCAGGGGGCATAGAAACACCTGATGATGATGGCACTTCCTCCTTAGGATTCATGGACATGTGTATTAAAGTCAATAAAGTATGTAACTAAATCAAGTTTTATGTGTATTTGATGGTATATTTATGAAATATTGACAGTATTTGTCTATGATAACACCAATGGAAAATATGTTTTATTAATTTAACAGTGTTCAGCATGATTCATTCATTAGCTGATGAAGCTGAAGACGCAACACAGGCATTAATGTTTGGTAAATAATACTTCAAATTCATTTATTTTTTTGTTTTGAAGATGTGAATAAACTTAATATTGCCATATTAAAAAACTAATACTTTTTATGTTAAAGTGTAGCTCTTCTATGTCATATTTATTAAACATTTTTCTTAAATGTGTGTTGTAATATCTTGTTGATAAAATTTGGATTTATCAGTAGGCACTATTGCACCTTTTTGCCTCCTGCATATTGGCAAATTCCCCTTACATATTAAATGTATTATAAATGATCACATGTATACTAAAGAAATATATGAGACTCTCAATGCACTTAACGGTCAGGCACAATTGACCAATATCTTCAATACAAATATTTTAGTGCACTCACAACTTATATATTTCAGATTCTCCACAGGAAGTGTTTTACACTCCACTGACAGCTACAAGCTTAAGTAAGCACAGGAGAAACTGATTGTGGAACTAGCACAGGTATGAAATAATTTTAATAATAAAGATAATCAAATGTTACAATTTACACTGACATGGTGAATAAATTCATATACTTGGTGCTATTTTATTCTAAAAATCCAAGTGTATGCTGTAAATACATGTGAACAATCTGAATACCGGTACCCCATGTGAGATGGTTACAATTATCTTAACAAATTATATAAATTTCAGAAAAGAACCAAGCCAGTCTGGAGGATATAATGATGACTCCTGCTATCAGAGCCAGTATGTATTAAACATTATGCAACTTTATTCAATAGTAAATTTGTATTAACATTAAAAAAATCAAGTCACTATATCATGAATTCTAGTTAATAACAATACAAATTTGTTTTCAAGGAAAATCTAAAAGGAAGCCTGTGATCAAGAAAACAACCGGATACTGTATCACTAGTATCCCTAAGAGGCTTTCATGAAACGGCACCCTGGTGTTGATGGTATTAGAAAATAAACGATCCATGCCGTCGCGACAAGACACCCACAAGCAAGGTCATGCATTGTTCACAACCGTTTGATCCTCATCAGTTGGTTCTTAAGAAAACTTATACATCATTATTAAGTGTAGCGTTACAACATCTACACTTGTGTGATACAGTATCTGGTTGTGGGTTGTGGCAGGGTTATAAGGCTAGCCACTGATTGTTTCCAGGCCATTATCTTTAGGTTGTCCATTGATACACCTACACTATAACTTTAAAGTGTAAATATATTGATGTTCCAAGATACATCGAACCACAGCTTGGATGTGTAAATATGCCCAAAGCTACATTATAAGTGTAGTTTCAGCATGTAAACAAGAGGATTCCAAAGATGCACCGAAACGCGGGGAAACATGCAGTACTCGCATGTTTCCAGACCGCAAGTACTGTTGACATATCACCGTTTATATTTACTTCACAAGGGACAGCGTTGTCGCCATCTGCAGCGATGCCTAAATTTTCAATCGTTTTCCAGAAACTCATTCCAAAGTTTACTGGAACGAAACAGAGAGAGCGTCAAAGTGGTGTTTAATTACAATATTCATATTTGAAAATTGTAAACAATATTTCTTCCTTCTTAATGTTTATGCTTGGCAGTTAATGACTACTATCGCCCGAGACGTTTAAAGATACAGTTTCCGCAAAAAGTTAGTTCCTGTAGTGAAATATCCATAAATAATATATATTTCTCCGAATATCTGGAAAGTGTTCACATTCCAAAATATTTCTTTTCTGATTTCGTCTCCCTACATGAAAACAAACTTGACCTGAAATCCGCTATTTCCGAACATAACATGAAGAACGAAAACCATAACTGTCCTGTCTACCACCAACAAGTGGCGACTACAAGTAGCCATTGACACCAGCCAGCCATGAACCGTGACCAGGGAACCTATCTGCCAAGTGCTTGGGACTGATTGCTTTGATCTTTTTCGGGACTTATTACCTAGCTGGCTTCAATTTACCCCTTGCTATGTCCATTGTTTCACCTATCAGTGCTAATTACCCCATCCCGTTTGCCCAGTGTCCATTAGCGTTGTGCAAAGGCATCACATGAAAGGCTGTGGACAGAAGGACTATGTGCAAAAATGCAACAGTAAAACAGTACGCCAAAACGCACCCAAACGAACATTAAATGGACATGAAAATGTTGTATTTCATGTCCAAGATGAACTTAACATGTTATGCGACTGTTGTTTTCAGTTTTAGTTGTCAGGTGGCAACATGTGCTTATCGTTTGTCCTAATATGGGAATTTAGAATAGAAATGCTAAAAACAACATAGTAACAGAGTTCACATAAAAAAATGAAGTTACCACAATTAGTGGATAGAAACTGTTAATAATAGAAAATAGTGTAATTGATTAGATACATTAAATGTTTGAACTTGTTTCAATAGTATATTGTTTTGAATTTAAGGGGTTGTATTCACTCCAGGCCAATCTTAATAAAGACAGCTAGATTTTTTACTCAAATCAAATACCTCTCTTCGTAAAGATCTGACAAGCCCATCATATTTAGTTGAATCAGGTTAACAAATGAGGCATTCAAACAGCATATTTAATTTCTATATCTTAAATAAACATCAATAGACCGAATAATGTGTGTATCACCTTGTTGATTGACAAAACAAAAACAAAGGTATCTGCAAAAGAGACAGCATGAAACCAGAATCCCAATTAGGCGTTTAAGACAAATGTTTTCTGTATTTTCACAAATAGCTACTGGCAGCCACATTTGATTTCTGATTACGATTCCATAACACATTTTGAAAATCGTGACCATCTCACACATCAAGTTTTAAACACAAGATTCTTTAAGTTATGGAGATTACTTTTCAGCCTTTCGCTCGTTTGATACGTTTTGAAACAACTGGTTGTAAGAACAATGGTACCTGACAGAAACGAGTGCAGTAATCTCTATATATACAATAGTATCTCTCATCTCGTTTTTCAATGATTCTGCAGGTACAGAAGCCTACTTCTAGATGTTAAACTGTTGAAACAAAGGGCGACTGAACTAGCTAGCTGTTTTGTATTAAATTCGTACAATTCAAATCTCTGATGTTCCAACTTTTTAAATACATATACTGTGAAGCCCCTAGTCATGCATATCTGATATCTATGATTAATAGATTCTTCCTGATTTTATTGTTAAGTATTCCATCATAACATAGTTACAGCTGTTAATTGTATGCATATCTAGCTACACAATTGTACACATACTGTGATCAAGGAGACAGAACATCAATGATGCGAGCACCTTCCAAGATTTCCAACAGTACAGATACACCTTTGCTTTCAGAAAGTTGTGTATTAAGTGCTTAACCATGTCTTACCTGGCGGGACTGCCTGAGGCACCCAAACTTAGAACATTCTCTCCAACTTTGGGCATTTATCGATGTCCAAGGATATAAGTGATAAATTCAAGATTATATTTATGTTCAAACACATATTTTTTGACAACCTACAACAAACCTGGTACAGCTAAGTCAACAATCTATCAAATTCGTATTCTCATAAACATTTCAAATCCCTTTAAACTTTTTTCTATGCCTCTGTATATAAGGATTTTGTCATGCTTCAAATGCAGCAACCTCAAACTGGCTTTAAATACTGGAAGACACCATGACATACCCTATGAAGAAAGACTTTGTGAGAAAGAGAAATAAATTACACTGAAAATGAATTCAAAATTTTGCTTTTGTGGGCGTGTTGGAGTGTGTGAGCGAGCAAGATATATCATGCTTCATCTCCACTTTTCATCCGAAAAGAAATGTGTGGTCTATATTATATCCAGATCATGTCAGCTATAAATGGACTTACATTTCAACCTAACATGTGACTATGCTTAAAATGAACATGGTCACACTCGACTAAAACTATACTGTAATAACTGAGTTTAAGTGGGCTTAAACTTAAAATACAATAGGGTAGGTTACCCCGAACTCTATCCTTAGCCCTTGTATCCCCTTTGCGATCATTAGGGTTAGGTACCCGTTTAGTGGCTATATTAGATTACCCGAATTCTGTCCTTAGCCCTTGGATCCCCTTTACGGTCAAACATCCCTTCACTATCATTAGGGTTCGGTAAATCTACCCGTTTAGTTTCTGTTATAGATTCTATAGCAGCTCCTAATATTCTTCACACAAAATCATCGAGTAAAAAGAATGAAATGGTTTTGTGTCGAATACTTTGGCTACTGGAAACTGTCCTGGAACATTCACACAAGCCACTTTCACCGGCTACATTTTTTCAGTACTGATTCAAAAGCGAACTCACCGTTGTGTCGTCACTAGCCATGCTCACGCCTCCATCGTTCCTTACTGTTATCCACATGATCCTAAGAGTGTTCCCTACCACACTTTTCTGTCACCAAAATCAACCAACGAATTATTAAATAACACGTCATTCTTGCTTACTCGTCGACGTCTGATGTCTGGAGCCGTTTTCAGTTCGCGCCATATCGGATCATTCCTCGCTACTCGGTATCTTGTAGATTATGGAATGGGATCGGGATCATTCATAATTGTCGATAGATTAAAGTCACGAGACGCCATGCCTACCCGTAACCTTCGTAAGTGACATTTGACATTTCTATGCATACGCATTAACAACATGCGCCTGCATTTGTGTTTGCAACAACATTAGTTGAAGAATTTCTTCCAAAAAGATCTTGAGCGTCGGTGCTGTTTTGTTCGCAAACACAACTGCAGGTGCATGTTGTTAATGCGTATGCATAGAAATGTCAACAATGCCCATTTTTGGGCATATATCAATATTCATGCGCAACCAGATTTTGCAACCGGTTTCAGTTTGGTCTGTCAACGAACAAAAGTTGTTATTTAATTATACTTAATATATATTTAACGTGGGTAATAAATAAAATACCACACTCATTCTCGTTAGATACCATTTTTACGATACTCGTGAACTTTCTATTGATCGGTAGTCGGTCATTGTAAATGGATATCTAGCTCGATTATCTAATGTATGTAGCAGCTCTATGCATAACTAATACAGAATGCAAACCGAATTTGATGCTTGTGACCATCTTGTTTGTTTTAATAACGGCACGCAGTTTTTTATGAATAAAAAAAGTAGTTCCGCTGTGACAGAGGTCACGGTTATCCAATCAAAACGAATAAAACGAGGTCAACCTTGTACGACACACGTGTGAGGTACGGATTTAGTATCTTCACCACGTGGGTAATAAATAGATAATACCACACTCATTCTCGTTGGATACGATTTTTACGAAACGAGTGGACTTTCTATGGTATCTGACCTCGCTTTCGCTCGATCAGATACCATCGAAAGTCCACTCATTTCGAAAAAATGGTATCTGACGAGAGTGAGTGTAAGTAGTTGTGTGCGGTACTTTGGAACCGCTCCAGGCTTCTGAATGGTCGAAAGGATCACGTGACCTCTGATGACATCACTTCCGGTTTCGGTTTGCACAGGGCATGGTGGGACCTGCGCGCGCATCCGTTTCCACTGGCATGCTCCTCCAAGATGGCAGCACATCCGTTTCCGGTGGCGTGCACACCTCCAAGAGGGCGTCGCATCCGTTTCCAGGGAGGAGGGGAAAACCTGGAGAAGCGCCTGAAAAGGTGAACAGGATCGACATTGAAAGAAGCGCTTCAAAAATCGTTTTTCGTTGTTCTAAAAATAGACGTGGTGGTGGCGTCAGCGGCGGAGGAGGAGGAGGAAGGAGGGAGGGAGGAGGAGGCGGGTTCTTTGTTTG